GAGACCGTCTGAAACAGTCTGAAACAGTCTGAAACAGTGTGAAACAGAAACAGTCTGAAACAGCCTGAAACAGTCTGAAACAGTCTGAAACCGTCTGAAACAGTGTGAAACCGTCTGAAACAGTGTGAAACAGAAACAGTCTGAAACAGTCTGAAACCGTCTGAAACAGTGTGAAACAGAAACAGTTGGAAACAGTCTGAAACAGTGTGAAACAGAAACCGTCTGAAACAGTCTGCAACAGTGTGAAACAGAAACAGTTGGAAACAGTCGGAAACAGTCTGAAACAGTCTGAAACAGTCTGAAACAGAACCAGTCTGAAACAGTCTGAAACCGTCTGAAACAATGTGAGAGAGCCGGAAACCGTCTGAAACAGACTGAAACAGTCTCAAATAGTTTGAAGCAGTCTGAAGCAGTCTGAAACAGTCTGAAACAGTCTGAAACAGAAACAGTCTGAAACAGTCTGAAACCGTCTGAAACAGTCTGAAACAGTCTGAAACAGAAACAGTCGGAAACAGTCTGAAACAGTGTGAAACAGTGTGAAACAGTGTGAAACACTCTGAAACAGTGTGAAACAGTTGGAACCAGTGTGAAACAGTCGGAAACAGTGTGAAACAGTCTGAAACAGTCTGAAACAGTGTGAAACAGTGTGAAACAGTCTGAAACGGTGTGAAACAGTCGGAAACAGAAACAGTCGGAAACAGTCGGAAACAGTGTGAGAGAGCCGGAAACCGTCTGAAACAGTCTGAAACAGTGTGAGAGAGCCGGAAACCGTCTGAAACAGTCTGAAACAGTCTGAAACAGTGTGAAACAGTGTGAAACAGTGTGAAACAGTCTGAAACAGTGTGAAACAGTCTGAAACCGTCTGAAACAGAAACAGTCGGAAAGAGTCTGAAACAGTCGGAACCAGTGTGAAACAGTGTGAAACAGTCTGAAACAGTCGGAAACAGTGTGAAACAGTGTGAAACAGAAACAGTCGAAACAGTCTGAAACAGTGTGAAACAGTGTGAAACACTCTGAAACAGTGTGAAACAGTCGGAACCAGTGTGAAACAGTCGGAAACAGTGTGAAACAGTCGGAAACAGTGTGAAACAGTCTGAAACAATGTGAAACAGTGTGAAACGTCTGAAACAGAAACAGTCGGAAACAGTGTGAAACAGTCTGAAACAGTCTGAAACAGAAACAGTCGGAAACCGTCTGAAACAGTCTGAAACAGAAACAGTCGGAAACAGTCTGAAACGAATGAGGAAATGAATGCATGGCGCCGTGGCAAGAGCTCTGGTGTGTGTCGTCTGGTGCACACTGGGGTAGTCTTGCACAGTTTTTCCAATGCGGTTTTACTGCAAATGGCAAATAAATGAATCTGAATCTGACAGACATTGCATAGAGCAGAGTAAACAAAGACATATCTGCTCTAGATGTTACACAAATGAAGTCAGTATTGATATGTGTCGCTTACGGCTCCTCTGATCGTTCCTTACTCTGATACATACTCTGATACATACTCTGATCCTTACTCTGATACATACTCTGATACATACTCTGATACAACTCTGATCCTTACTCTGATACATACTCTGATACAACTCTGATCCTTACTCTGATAAATACTCTGATACAACTCTGATCCTTACTCTGATACATACTCTGATACATACTCTGATTCTTACTCTGATACATACTCTGATACAACTCTGATCCTTACTCTGATACATACTCTCAGAGTATGTATCAGACTATCCAACAGATCAGTGAGTGGATGCAAAACAACTTCCTTCAGCTAAACGCAGACAAAACTGAAATGATTGTCTTTGGTCCCCAGAAACAAAGAGAGAGCGTCATCTGTCACCTACAGTCTCTCTCCCTAAAACCTTCAAACAAGGTCAGAAATCTAGGGGTAATACTGGACTCAGACTTACATTTTAATAGCCACATCAAATCAGTAACATCAGCAGCTTTTTACCATCTAAAAAACATTGCCAGGATCAAAAACATAGTGTCTAAAGCAGACCTGGAGATTCTTATCCATGCATTTGTCTCCAGTAGGTTAGACTACTGCAATGGCCTGCTCACAGGTCTGTCCAAACAGGCTGTAAAACAGCTGCAGTACATTCAAAATGCAGCAGCTCGAGTCCTGACTAGAACCAGGAAGTACGACCACATTAGTCCAGTTCTCAGGTCTCTGCACTGGCTTCCTGTGGCTCAGAGAATAGACTTTAAAACAGCTCTGCTTGTGTACAAGTCTCTCCATAGCCTCGCACCAAAATATATTAGTGACATGTTAGTCCCATATGAACCAGCCCGGACTCTGAGGAGCACAGGGACTGGACTCCTGTTAGTGCCCAGAGTCAGAACTAAACATGGGGAGGCTGCTTTTCAGATTCATGCTGCTAAAATCTGGAACAGTCTTCCTGAAGATGTGAGACAGGCCTCCTCTCTGACAATGTTTAAAACCAGGTTAAAGACAGTTCTGTTTAACTGTGCATACAACTGAGGGATTTTATATTTCTATCTTTCTTTTTAATGTTCTGTAATAATTTATGATTTTAATGCTTTCTTGTTTTGTTCAGCACTTTGAATTGCCTTGTGTATGAATTGTGCTATATAAATAAACTTGCCTTGCCTAGCCTACTCTGATCCTTACTCTGATACATACTCTGATACATACTCTGGTCCTTACTCTGATACATACTTTGATCCTTACTCCCATGAGCAACCCCGCTCCCATCTCTGTGTGGAGCGAGAGGACAAGTGCCCAAAAAATAACAATTGTAATCCGCTTTGTGACTCTGGTCTGTGAAAGGCGGTATATAAATAAAGCTTACTTACTTACTTACTTACTTATACATACTCTGATACATACTCTGATCCTTACTCTGATACATACTGTGATCCTTACCCTGATCCTTACTCTGATACATACTCTGATCCTTACTCTGACACATACTCTGATACATACTCTGATCCTTACTCTGACACATACTCTGATCCATACTCTGATCCTTACTCTGATACATACTCTGATCCTTACTCTGATACATACTCTGATCCTTACTCTGATACATACTCTGATCCTTACTCTGATACATACTCTGATACATACTCTGATCCTTACTCTGATCCTTACTCTGATACATACTCTGATACATACTCTGATCCTTACTCTGATACATACTCTGATACATACTCTGATCCTTACTCTGATACATACTCTGATCCTTACTCTGATACATACTCTGATCTTTACTCTGATACATACTCTGATCCTTACTCTGATACATACTCTGATCCTTACTCTGATACATACTCTGATCCTTACTCTGATACATACTCTGATCCTTACTCTGATCCTTACTCTGATCCTTACTCTGATACATACTCTGATCCTTACTCTGATACATACTCTGATACATACTCTGATCCTTACTCTGATACATACTCTGATCCTTACTCTGATACATACTCTGATACATACTCTGATCCTTACTCTGATACATACTCTGATCTTTACTCTGATACATACTCTGATCCTTACTCTGATACATACTCTGATCCTTACTCTGATACATACTCTGATCCTTACTCTGATACATACTCTGATACATACTCTGATCCTTACTCTGATACATACTCTGATCCTTACTCTGATACATACTCTGATACATACTCTGATCCTTACTCTGATACATACTCTGATACATACTCTGATCCTTACTCTGATACATACTCTGATCCTTACTCGTATTAATATAATAATAATCTGCTTTGACCTTCTTTGACCCAGATGTGTCAAAGACATGTAGAAACACATCTCCATCAACTGACCCGCTGCCAACAGACCATATGTGTCTATCACCTGCTGCCAACAGACCATATGTGCTGTATTTGAATCCAGAGTTTACTATTTGTGAATAACTTATTGATGTTAATTTAGATTGCTTTACTAAAATATTTATATCACAGTTTGATAATTAATAGACATGAAAATGATAACAATATAAATAATATGAATATAAATGACAATATGAATAATATGAATATTATTGATAATATAATTGATAACACCATGTGTCCCAGGTCTGCTGGTCACAACTGCTCTGAGGAGGTGCAGCGTCTGAGGTCGTTACAAAGAACGTTGGAGAAACGCCGCAGCGTTCTGCTGCAACTGAAGGTTCTCCACAAAAAGCTCCTCCTGGTCCTCAGCAGGTCTGACCAGGCCTCTGCCCGGGACCAGCTGAGGAACCTGCAGGACCAGTGGAGACGAGTGGAGAGAGAGGTCCAAGGTTCGCTCTACCACAAAAACGCCATCTCCTACAAGACGGAGTGTCTGAAGGCGGAGGTGGACCTCCTGACCTCACAGCTGCAGGATATCTCCAACGAGCTGCAGATGATCAGCACCAGAGGCTGGACCAGCAACGAAGCACAGAAGCTGATGGTTCTGAACGCTGAGCTCAGCGCAGCCTGTCACAAATACTCCTGTCTGAAAGACCTCGCTGAGGAGGTCAGCGCTCACTCCCAGTGGGAAAAGGATCGGGAGGAGATTCGAGATGGTCTCCAGAGAGTGGAGAGGGAACTCAGCCAGTGCCAGGAGGACATAGGTTCTAAAAGTCAGAGCAGCAGTAACCCCATCATGGAGAAGATCCTGGAGGTCATGAGGAACGCGTTTGCTTGGGCCAGGAAAACAGAGACGGACATCGAAGGAAGAAGGAGAAGGGTGTGTCTGCTCCCGGAACAGGTCCACCGCCAACTCAGAGACCTCAAGAAGCTGCAGTTTGAGGTAACGAACAAACAAGGCCAGCTGGAGGCGCTAGAGGAGGAGGTGCACGAGCTGTTACCGCAGCTGCACGAGGAGGACGAGGCCCCCATGATCAATGCATCTTTGAAATCTCTGGAAGAATTGTCCAAGTTGACCATGGAGAAGTTAGTCCAGACCATCAGAGAGACCGAGTCAGGGCTGCAGACCAGAGAGAGGTTATCCCAACAACTGTCAGATCTAGAGACTTGGATTCTGACCTATTTCAGCAAAGATCCTTTCTGCAGCTCTGACTTACAGATGAGTTCACAGGATCTGGAACTTCAGGCCAGAAGAACGCTAGAATCACAAGAAGAAGCCGAGAAGCAGGCTGCCATCTGCGAAGCGCTTTTGGTGACGTCCAAAGAAATAGCATCTGAACTTAGCGTGGCAGAGAACTGTCATCTCTTCGACAGACTCCTGCACCTCCAGGACTGCATCCAAGACATCACTGAGGAGGAGCAGTCCAACAAGGAGGAGATACAGGAGAGCATCCGGATGGTAGAGTCCAGCAGGCAGAAGCTGGTCCCCATCGAAAAGAGTTTGAGACACATGCTTGTGGATCTGAGCCGTCCCAAGTTCCCCGTCACCAGGAAGTCCCTCCTGGCGCTACGGCCTCTGCGGAACACGCTGGCCGAGCACAAGTCGCAGGTGGAACGATTGGAGCGATGGTCGACGCAAGAAAAGACCAAAGAACTTCAAAGTTTAATCACAAATCTGGAAACCAAGATGTCTGCCCTGGAACCCAAGGCCACAGACCACGAGCTGTACCTGGACCTCCGGAGGTTCTTGGAGGAGCTGAAGGAGGCCATGAAAGACCAAGTGCGCAGAGCTAAAGACGGGAGCGATGACATCCACAAATACAAGAGGTGCCAGAGTTTGCTGGTGCAATTCCCCACCATCAACGTGCTTTGCCAAGAGGTCAAATCCAAACTGCAAGAGATTTCCGCAGACCTGTACCCGTCGCAGCTGAGCTCGGAACAGCAGAGGCAGAAGCAGGCGGAGGAGGCTCTGGCTGCGATGGAGACCTCTCTGGACAACACTCTGACCATCATCGAAGGCACTTTGCTCAAACACCTGGACCTGCAAACAGAAACCAGATCGTCCAGAGCCTTCCTGAACACCACCCTGAAGGCTCTGGACCAGGTGGAGTTGCAGGAGCTGAGTAAACCAGCGGTGGATGGAGAATACCAGCGACTGTTGACTCTGAGGAGGACCATCAAGCTGAGGCTCAGAGCCTGGGACGTGCTGCGACGGAAGGGAAACAAGTGGGAACCAGCAACCGCCGACATCAACCAGCTGAAGACCAGGGTCCTGCAAGAGTGTGACACCCAGCTGGTAGGTCTCACTCTTGTCCTTCTCTCTGGTCTCTCACTCTGGTCTCTCTCTGGTCTCTGGTCTCTCTCTGGTCCTCATCTTCTGTCTTGTTGCAGGAACACCTCAGTGAGGTCCGTGACTCCTTCAGATCCTTCTCCTCCACACTGCGCAGACTCGTTCTGGTCTTGGTCCTTGTGGATCTGAGACTGAGACGAGGGGTGGGGCCTCGGGGCCTCTGCTCTGAGCGCTGGCAGCAAATCCAAAGCTCTCTAGACTCTCTGGACCAGGACTTCCAGAGGCTCCAGGACCAGCTGAGCTCCTGCTTCAGAGCAAACCGCCTCCTGCCTGTGTCTGTGGTGCAGCAGCACCTGGAGGAAACCCTGAGTCAGCTGCTGCTGATGAAGACCACGGTGAAGGCCCGAGCCCGGCTGCAGCTGGAGGCTCTCAGCAGGTGAGGCCACCGGGTATGAACCAGGTCTGAACCAGGTCTGAACCAGGACTGAACCAGGACTGAACCAGGACTGAACCAGGTCTGAACTGAGACAGGACTGAGACTGGGTTCAAAGGGCCTGGTTTGGACCCTGAGTCGGTTGAAAAGGTCTGGTCTTTACCGTCTCCTGTGTGTGGTTTCTGCAGTTGTGTGGAGGAGCAGCGTCTTTACTGCAAGCTCCGAGACGATGTCACTCAGAGACTGGAGAAAGCAGAGGAGAGTGTGAACGAGCTCATGTCCCGGAGAGTCTCATCTCTGCATGACTGTGAGCAGCAGCAGCAGCAGCTCCAGGTGGGAAAGCACAGGGAGAACGTGCAAACACATGGAGAACACCACAGGGAGAACACGCAAACACAGAGAGAACACCACAGGGAGAACGTGCAAACACAAGGAGAACACCACAGGGAGAACATGCAAACACAGGGAGAACGCCACAGGGAGAACATGCAAACACAGAGTGAACATCACAGGGAGAATGTGCAAACACAGGGAGAACGCAGGGAGAACGTGCAAACACAGAGAGAACACAGGGAGAACATGCAAACACAGGGAGAACACAGGGAGAACATGCAAACACAGGGAGAACACAAGGAGAACACAGGGAGAACATGCAAACACAGGGAGAGCGTGCAGACACTGGTCTCTCTCTGGTCTCTCTCTGGTCTCTCTCTCTGGTCTCTCTCTCTGGTCTCTCTCTGGTCTCTCTTTCTGGTCTCTCTCTGGTCTCTATCTCTGGTCTCTCGCTGGTCTCTCTCTCTGGTCTCTATCTCTGGTCTCTCTCTGGTCTCTCTCTCTGGTCTCTCTCTGGTCTCTCTCTCTGGTCTCTCTCTCTGGTCTCTTTCTGGTCTCTCTCTCTAGTCTCTCTCTCTGGTCTCTCTCTGGTCTCTTTCTGGTCTCTCTCTCTGGTCTCTCTCTGGTCTCTCTTTCTGGTCTCTCTCTGGTCTCTATCTCTGGTCTCTCTCTGGTCTCTCTCTCTGGTCTCTATCTCTGGTCTCTCTCTGGTCTCTCTCTCTGGTCTCTCTCTGGTCTCTCTCTCTGGTCTCTATCTCTGGTCTCTCTCTGGTCTCTCTCTCTGGTCTCTCTCTGGTGTCTCTCTGGTGTCTCTCTGGTCTCTCTCTGGTCTCTCTCTCTGGTCTCTCTCTGGTCTCTACTCGTTGCTAATCCATCTATCTCCTGTCCCAGACTCTGTCCTCAGAGCTAGAGTCCCTGCTGAGGTCCTGGTCTGGGTCTGGGTCTGGGCCTGGGTCCGGGTCCAGGTCCTGTTGTCCAGAGAGCAGCTGCAGAGGCCACAGAGAGGCCACAGTGGTGCGTGTGTTCTCACGTCTGTCCAGCGTGTGGCGCCACTGTCACATCCTGAGACACAGAAGCAACAAGAGAATCAGAGACTGGGCCCAAGTCACTGTCTGTGTGAGTACTAAAGCTCAGGTCTGTAACTTTAGTCTGAATAACACATGTTTAAAGCTCAGGTCTGTAACTTTAGTCTGAATAACACATGTTTAAAGCTCAGGTCTGTAACTTTAGTCTGAATAACACATGTTTAAAGCTCAGGTCTGTAACTTTAGTCTGAATAACACATGTTTAAAGCTCAGGTCTGTAACTTTAGTCTAAATAATACATGTTTAAAGCTCAGGTCTGTAACTTTAGTCTGAATAACACATGTTTAAAGCTCAGGTCTGTAACTTTAGTCTAAATAACTCATGTATTGCTAACTGTTGTGTTCAGGTGGAGGAGGCAGAGACCACTCTCTCTTTGCTGGAGCAGGACCTCCCATCGCTCCTCCCCCTCCACTCCCCCATAGAGCAGCCCCTCCTCCCCCTCCTCTCCCCCACAGAGGAGCTGGCAGAGCTGGTGCAGACCTGGGATCAGTTCCAGGACCGTGTGGACTGTGAGCAGCGCTCGGTGTTAGCTCTAGAGCTGCGTGTGGCTCGTCTGGTGGGAGTCTCCGCCCACATGGACCAAGCCCCGCCCACTGCCCTGTGCCAGCGACTGCAGGGGCTGCATCAGCAGTACCAGAGGTGACCATTGGGGGCAGCGAGGAGACTCTAACTGCTCATGTCCACTGTCTAAACAATACTGTCTCTCTGTGTCTGTGTCTGTGTCTCTGTCTCTCTGTGTCTGTCTCTGTCTCTGTCTCTGTCTCTCTGTGTCTCTGTCTCTCTGTGTCTGTCTCTGTCTCTGTCTCTCTGTCTCTGTCTCTGTGTCTCTGTCTCTGTTTCTGTCTCTGTGTCTCTGTGTCTCTGTGTCTCTGTCTCTGTGTCTCTGTCTCTCTGTCTCTCTGTCTCTGTCTCTGTGTCTCTGTGTCTCTGTCTCTGTGTCTCTGTCTCTCTGTGTCTGTCTCTGTCTCTGTCTCTCTGTCTCTGTCTCTGTGTCTCTGTCTCTGTTTCTGTCTCTGTGTCTCTGTGTCTCTGTCTCTGTGTCTCTGTCTCTCTGTCTCTGTCTCTGTGTCTCTGTGTCTCTGTCTCTGTGTCTCTGTCTCTGTCTCTGTCTCTGTGTCTCTGTGTCTCTGTCTCTGTGTCTCTGTGTCTCTGTCTTTCTGTGTCTGTCTCTGTCTCTCTGTGTCTCTGTCTCTGTGTCTCTGTCTCTCTGTGTCTCTGTCTCTGTGTCTCTGTGTCTTTGTCTCTGTGTCTCTGTCTCTCTGTGTCTGTCTCTGTCTCTCTGTATCTGTCTCTGTCTCAATGTGTCTCTGTCTCTGTGTCTCTGTCTCTCTGTGTCTGTCTCTGTCTCTCTGTATCTGTCTCTGTCTCAATGTGTCTCTCTGTCTCTGTCTCTCTGTGTCTCTGTCTCTGTGTCTCTGTCTCTCTGTCTCTCTGTCTCAGTGTCTCTGTCTCTGTGTCTCTGTCTCTGTCTCTCTGTCTCTGTCTCTCTGTGTCTCTGTGTCTCTGTCTCTGTGTCTCTGTCTCTGTCTCTCTGTGTCTCTGTGTCTCTGTCTCTGTGTCTCTGTCTCTCTGTGTCTCTGTCTCTGTGTCTCTGTCTCTGTGTCTCTGTCACTGTGTCTCTGTCGCTGTCTCTGTCTATGTGTCTCTCTCCTCTCTCCTCTGACCTCTGTCTTCTGACCTCTGTCCTCTGTCCCCTGACCTCTGTCCTTTGACCTCTGTCCTCTGACCTCTCTCCTCTGTCTTCTGAACTCTGACCTCTGTCCTCTGAACTCTGACCTCTGTCCTCTGACCTCTGTCCTCTGACCTCTGTCCTATGACCTCTCTCCTCTGTCCTCTGTCCTATGACCTCTCTCCTCTGTCCTCTGTCCTCTCTCCTCTGTCCTCTGTCCTCTGACCTCTCTCCTCCTCTGTCTTCTGACCTCTGTCCTCTGACCTCTGTCCTCAGGGTCAGTGAGAGCAGTTCTCTGGGACTGTCGTCTTGTCGCTCTGAGTTGGAGCAAAGAGAAACGACTCGAGGAGAACTGCAGCGACTGAGACTGAGGCTGGAGGAGACAGACCACCTGCTGTCCCAGAGACACCCCCGGGACATACAGGTGAGACAGGGACCAGGTGAGACAGACTACCTGCTGTCCCAGAGACACCCCTGGGACATACAGGTGAGACAGGGACCAGGTGAGACAGACCACCTGCTGTCCCAGAGACACCCCTGGGACATACAGGTGAGACAGGGACCAGGTGAGACAGACCACCTGCTGTCCCAGAGACACCCCCGGGACATACAGGTGAGACAGGGACCAGGTGAGACAGACCACCACCTGTCCCAGAGACACCCCCGGGACATACAGGTGAGACAGGGATCAGGTGAGACAGACCACCTGCTGTCCCAGAGACACCCCCGGGACATACAGGTGAGACAGGGACCAGGTGAGACAGACCACCTGCTGTCCCAGAGACACCCCTGGGACATACAGGTGAGACAGGGACCAGGTGAGACAGACCACCTGCTGTCCCAGAGATACCCCCGGGACATACAGGTGAGACAGGGACTAGGTGATACAGACCACCTGCTGTCCCAGAGACACCCCCGGGACATACAGGTGAGACAGGGACCAGGTGAGACAGACCACCTGCTGTCCCAGAGACACCCCCGGGACATACAGGTGAGACAGGGACTAGGTGATACAGACCACCACCTGTCCCAGAGACACCCCCGGGACATACAAGTGAGACAGGGACCAGGTGAGACAGACCACCACCTGTCCCAGAGACACCCCCGGGACATACAGGTGAGACAGGGACCAGGTGAGACAGACCACCTGCTGTCCCAGAGACACCCCCGGGACATACAGGTGAGACAGGGACCAGGTGAGACAGACCACCTGCTGTCCCAGAGACACCCCCGGGACATACAGGTGAGACAGGGACCAGGTGAGACAGACCACCACCTGTCCCAGAGACACCCCCGGGACATACAGGTGAGACAGGGACCAGGTGAGACAGACCACCTGCTGTCCCAGAGACACCCCCGGGACATACAGGTGAGACAGGGACCAGGTGAGACAGACCACCTGCTGTCCCAGAGACACCCCTGGGACATACAGGTGAGACAGACCACCTGCTGTCCCAGAGACACCCCCGGGACATACAGGTGAGACAGGGACCAGGTGAGACAGACCACCACCTGTCCCAGAGACACCCCCGGGACATACAGGTGAGACAGGGACCAGGTGAGACAGACCACTTGCTGTCCCAGAGACACCCCCGGGACATACAGGTGAGACAGGGACCAGGTGAGACAGACCACCTGCTGTCCCAGAGACACCCCCGGGACATACAGGTGAGACAGGGACCAGGTGAGACAGACCACCTGCTGTCCCAGAGACACCCCCGGGACATACAGGTGAGACAGGGACCAGGTGATACAGACCACCACCTGTCCCAGAGACACCCCCGGGACATACAGGTGAGACAGGGACCAGGTGAGACAGACCACCACCTGTCCCAGAAACACCCCCGGGACATACAGGTGAGACAGGGACCAGGTGAGACAGACCACCTGCTGTCCCAGAGACACCCCCGGGACATACAGGTGAGACAGGGACCAGGTGAGACAGACCACCTGCTGTCCCAGAGACACCCCCGGGACATACAGGTGAGACAGGGACCAGGTGAGACAAGACCACCACCTGTCCCAGAGAAACCCCCGGGACATACAGGTGAGACAGGGACCAGGTGAGACAGACCACCACCTGTCCCAGAGACACCCCCGGGACATACAGGTGAGACAGGGACCAGGTGAGACAGACCACCTGCTGTCCCACGGACACCCCCCGGGACATACAGGTGAGACAGGGACCAGATGAGACTGGGACCAGGTGAGACAGACCACCACCTGTCCCACAGACACCCCCGGGACATACAGGTGAGACAGGGACCAGGTGAGACAGACCACCACCTGTCCCACAGACACCCCCGGGACATACAGGTGAGACAGGGACCAGGTGAGACAGAGACCAGGTGAGACTGACCACCTGCTGTCCCACGGACACCCCCGGGACATACAGGTGAGACAAGGACCAGGTGAGACTGAGTTCCAGGACCATGTTGTCCCATGTGTTCCACTATCACGTTTGCTCAGTGGTTAGCACTCTCGCCTCTCAGCAAGAAGGTCCTGGGTTCAAATCCCGGTCAGAACAGGGCCTTTCTGAGTGGAGTTTGCATGTTCTCCCTGTGTCTGCGTAGATTTCGTCCTGTCCTCTCTGGTCTGAGACAGTGCTATATATATATAAACATGTCTCACTTCCAGATGGTTCTGCTGCAGTTCCTTGCACACAAGTCTGAACTGTACAAGATCTCAACCTCCATCTGCAACAAGTACCAGACCAGACCAGAGACCGGACCAGAGACCAGACCTGAGATCAGGCCTGAGACCGAACCAGAGACCGGACCACAGATCAGACCAGGGTTCGGACCAGAGTCATTGATCCCAGGAGAGATCCTCACACTGCTGCAGGAGACCAGAGCCATCATGGACCAGGTGGAACCCAAGGTAGGACCAGAGACCATTAGATCTGACTGTAAATTAGAGCTGAGTCTACAATAGAGCTGAGTCTACATTAGAGCTGACTACATTAGAGCTGAGTCTACATTAGAGCTGACTCTACATTAGAGCTGACTACATTAGAGTTGAGTCTACATTAGAGCTGACTCTACATTAGAGCTGACTACACTAGAGCTAACTACATTAGAGCTGACTCTACATTAGAGCTGACTACATTAGAGCTGACTCTACATTAGAGCTGACTACATTAGAGCTGACTCTACATTAGAGCTGACTACATTAGAGCTGACTCTACATTAGAGCTGACTACATTAGAGCTGACTACATTAGAGCTGACTCTACATTAGAGCTGACTACATTAGAGCTGACTCTACATTAGAGCTGACTACATTAGAGTTGACTCTACATTAGAGCTGACTACATTAGAGCTGACTCTACATTAGAGCTGACTACATTAGAGTTGACTCTACATTAGAGCTGACTACATAAGAGCTGACTCTACATTAGAGCTGACTACATTAGAGCTGACTCTACATTAGAGCTGAGTCTACATTAGAGATGAGTCTACATTAGAGCTTACTCTACATCAGAGCTGACTCTACATTAGAGCTGACTACATTAGAGCTGACTACATTAGAGCTGACTCTACATTAGAGCTGACTACATTAGAGCTGAGTCTACATTAGAGCTGACTCTACATTAGAGCTTACTCTACATTAGAGCTGACTACATTAGAGCTGACTAAATTAGAGCTGACTCTACATTAGAGCTGACTACATTAGAGCTGACTCTACATTAAAGCTGACAACATTAGAGCTGACTCTACATTAGAGCTGTTTGGTCTCAGGTGCAGGATGCGGTGGAGAAGAGTGGTTCGGTCTACAGACTCGGGATGAAGCTGTCTGAGATCCAGTCCGGACTAAACTCTGTCCAGAAGAGACTGGACCAAAGGAGTCCCACTGTGGCTGAGGCCAAAGTCACACAGAAGGTCAGGACCAGAGAGAGACCAGAGAGACAGACCAGAGAGAGACCAGAGAGAGACCAGAAAGAGACCGGAGAGAGACCAGAGAGAAACCAGAGAGAGACCAGAGAGAGAGACAAGAGAGAGAGACCAGAGAAAAACCAGAGAGAGACTAGAGAGAGACCAGAGAGAGACCAGAGAGAGAGACCAGAAAGGGACCAGAGAGAGAGACCAGAGAGAGACCAGAGAGAGGGACCACAGAGAGAGACCAGAGAGAGACCAGAGAGAGACCAGAGAGAGAGACCAGAGAGAGAGACCAGAGAGAGACCAGAGAGAGACCAGAGAGAGAGACCAGAGAGAGACCAGAGAGAGACCAGAGAGAGAGACCAGAGAGAGACCAGAGAGAGAGAGACCAGAGAGAGAGATCAGAGAGAGACTAGAAAGAGACCAGAGAGAGACCAGAGAGAGGGACCACAGAGAGAGACCAGAGAGAGACCAGAGAGAGACCAGAGAGAGACCAGAGAGAGAGACTAGAGAGAGACCAGAGAGAGACCAGAGAGAGGGACCACAGAGAGAGACCAGAGAGAGACTAGAGAGAGAGACCAGAGAGAGACCAGAGAGAGAGACTAGAGAGAGACCAGAGAGAGACCAGAGAGAGACCAGAGAGAGACCAGAGAGAGAGACCAGGGAGAGAGACCAGAGAGAGACCAGAGAGAGACCAGAGAGAGAGACTAGAGAGAGACCAGAGAGACCAGAGAGAGGGACCACAGAGAGAGACCAGAGAGAGAGACCAGAGAGAGACCAGAGAAAAACCAGAGAGAGACTAGAGAGAGACCAGAGAGAGACCAGAGAGAGACCAGAGAGAGAGACTAGAGAGAGACCAGAGAGAGAGACTAGATAGAGAGACCAGAGAGAGACCAGAGAGACCAGAGAGAGACCAGAAAGAGACCGCAGAGAGACCAGAGAGAAACCAGAGAGAGACCAGACAGAGAGACCAGAGAGAGAGACCAGAGAGAGAGACCAGAGAGAAACCAGAGAAAAACCAGAGAGAGACTAGAGAGAGACCAGAGAGAGAGACCAGAGAGAGACTAGAGAGAGACCAGAGAGAGACCGGAGAGAGACCAGAGCGAAACCAGAGAGAGACCAGAGAGAGAGACCAGAGAGAGACCAGAGAGAGACCAGAGAGAGAGACCAGAGAGAGACTAGAGCGAGATCAGAGAGAGACCAGAGAGAGACCAGAGAGAGAGACCAGAGAGAGACCAGAGAGAGACCAGAGAGAGAGCCTAGAGAGAGACTAGAGAGAGACCAGAGAGAAACCAGAGAGAGACCAGAGAGAGAGACCAGAGAGAAACCAGACAGAGACTAGAGAGAGACCAGAGAGAGACCAGAGAGAGAGTCTAGAGAGAGACCAGAGAGAGACCAGAGAGAGACCAGAAAGAGACCGGAGAGAGACCAGAGAGAGAGACCAGAAAGAGACCAGAGAGAGACCAGAGAGAGAGAGACCAGAGAGAGAGACCAGAGAGAAACCAGAGAGAGACTAGAGAGAGACCAGAGAGAGAGACCAGAGAGAAACTAGAGAGAGACCAGAGAGAGACCGGAGAGAGACCGGAGAGAGACCAGAGCGAAACCAGAGAGAGACCAGAGAGAAAGACCAGAGAGAGACAAGAGAGAGACCAGAGAGAGAGACCAGAGAGAGAGACCAGAGAGAGACTAGAGCGAGACCAGAGAGAGACCAGAGAGAGACCAGAGAGAGAGACCAGAGAGAAACCAGACAGAGACTAGAGAGAGACCAGAGAGAGACCAGAGAGAGACCAGAGAGAGACCAGAGAGAGAGACCACAGAGAGAGACTAGAGAGAGACCAGAGAGAGACCAGAGAGAGACTAGTGATAAATATGTTTTAAGTGATTTGAGTGTAACTGATGTTCTATTTCCTCTCTCTTCTCTTTCTCCTCTCTTTCCTCTCCCCTCTCTCTCCCCTCTCTCCCCTCTCTCCCCTCTCTCTCGTCTCTCTCGTCTCTCCCCTCTCTCCCTCCTCTCTCTCCTCCCTCCTGTCTCTCCTCTTCTGTCTTCTGTCTCCAGCGTGTTTGGGATGAGTTGGACGTGTGGCACTCGTGTCTTGCTGCTCTGGAGGTGGAGGTGCAGGACCTGGAGCGACCAGAGGAGGCGCTGCTGCTCACAGAGAGACTGGTGGAGGTTCAACACATACACACACAACTGGCCAAGAGAGCGGAGCAGAGAACCACACTGATCAGCAAGGTAAACACACACACTCGCACATACGCACACAGGCACACACACACACAGACACTCACACAGACACACACACACACACATACACACAGACACACACACACATACTGACACACACACACACACACACACAGACACACACAAACACACAGACACACACACACACACATACTGACACACACACACAGATATACACACACACACACAGACACACACAAACACACACATACAGAGCCAAACACACTAACACACACAGACACACACACACAGGGCACCCACACACACAGACTTACACACACACACACAGACACACACAAACACACACAGACAGACCCAAACACAATAAACACACACACACACACACACACACACACACACAGACACACACAAACACAATAACACACACACACACATACACACACAGACACACACAAACACAATAACACACACACACACACATACACACACAAACACAATAACACACACACACACACACAGACACACACACACACTCGCACATACGCACACACACACACAGACACTCACACAGACACACACACACACACATACACACAGACACACACACACATACTGACACACACACACACACACACACACAGACACACACAAACACACAGACACACACACATACTGACACACACACACAGATATACACACACACACACAGACACACACAAACACACACATACAGAGCCAAACACACTAACACACACAGACACACACACACAGGGCACCCACACACACAGACTTACACACACACACACAGACACACACAAACACACACAGACAGACCCAAACACAATAACACACACACAGACACACACACACACAGACACACACACAGACACACACAAACACAATAACACACACACACACATACACACACAGACACACACAAACACAATAACACACACACACACACATACACACACAAACACAATAACACACACACACACACACAAACACAAACACAAATACATAAACTGAAACTAGTGACAGAATGTTTATAATTAAAATGTTTTTATTGACTCAGCAGTTCTTACATTAACAATCTACACAATGTTACATACATGGTACATTAGAATGTGTACATTTGTTAACACATAATAGAACAAAAACAAAAGAACAATTGAGTAGCAAAGGGATATCACTCGTGTCCTTAAGTGTTGGTACAATGTAGTCCTCAAATCTGTGGTGATCCAGTCTTAGTGCAGAAGTCAGTCTCTCCATATGAAACATGTCTTTAACGAGTGATATCCAGCCCCAACACAGGTGTTCTGTCTGTCATCCATTTCTTTGTGATAGCTTTTTTGCTCGCTGTCAGTAAAACATTCCACATATATTTTTTTCTCGTCCCTTTTCTACAGTCTGGTTGTAAAAACTGTGTCAATGCCCTGTTTAATAGCCATCCAGTAATTGGTTATTTTTGAACAACTCCAGAATATGTGGTGATGGCCGTTTCCACATAACCTCCAACATGAAGTGTCAGCACTTGAGCCTCTCTGGACTGGGGATGACATTAACAGGGATTTTAACCCAATTTTCCATTTGTATGGAGAGATTACCTTCTTTCTCCCATTTTTCTTTAATATACAGAATATTTTCATTCTGCAAGTTTTGCAGCTCATCATATAGTTTAGAAATCAACTTAATGTTTGCTCCTTGCTGATATGCTTTTATAAATATTGTTATTAATCCCGACAGCTGATTTGTATGGTCTCTATAATTTTGGTTCAAGTAGTGGCGGACCTGGAGGTATCGGAAAAAGTCTCTGTTGTCAAGATTGTAGGTCCTTTTCAAATCTTGATAGCTCCTCATTTGATCTTTATGATAAATGATTTGATAAATAAATGATAAATAAATGATTTGGCGGCACGGTGGCTGAGTGGTTAGCACTCTCGCCTCTCAGCAAGAAGGTCCTGGGTTCGAATCCCGGTCGGACCAGGGCCTTTCTGAGTGGAGTTTGCATGTTCTCCCCGTGTCTGCGTAGGTTTCCTCCGGGTACTCCGGTTTCCCCTACCACTAAAAATATGTACAATAGGTCTGGCATGCGCCTCCTGTTCGGCGACCCCGCTCCCATCTGTGTGGAGTGAGAGGATAAGTGCCCAAAAAATAATAACAATTGTAAACCGCTTTGTGACCCTTGTCTGTGAAAGGCGGTATATAAATAAACATTACTTACTTACTTACTTAAAACTGATTGTAAGTCATTAAACCTTTGTCAGACCAATTTTTAAATGTTTTATCTCCTACATTTGGGGTAAAGTCCTTCATAAGGGTGCATTTTGGATTGTCCTTTATTATTTTTGACCAGATATCAAGTGCTGCCTTGGTCCATGGGTTAAGATCCCTCACATTACTCATTAAATGAGTGTTGCCAATCATTGCCGGTACAGGGATTACTTCAGATCTAGATTCTATGTCTTTCCATTTTGCTGTATATGATGAGCTGCAAATATTATTTTCCATTATAACAATGGGCTTAGTTGTGCCGCTCTGTAATCATTCTTCAGATTTGGAAGAGAGAGTCCACCCTTGTATCTTGCCATTTGTAGAGTTTTGTATCTTATTCTAGGTTTTTTCCCTTCCCAGATAAACCTTGAAAATAATTTATCCAGTTCCTGGAACATTGTTGTTGAAGAGTCAACAGGTATTGTTTGAAATAGATATAATAGTTTAATACTCTGTGTAAAAGTCATAGATGGGGATCAGGCTCCATCTATCCAAATCAGTTTTAATTTTAGCAATAAGTGGATCGTAGTTTATTGACTTAAAAGTTTGTATGTCCTTTGGAATATGTGCTCCCAAGTATGTTATTGAGTCCATGCACCAATTGATTTTAAATATTTTCTTTATGGGATCTTCTGGGTTGTAGTTGAATGTCAATACTTGTGATTTATGAAAGTTTAATCTATATAGGGCGACAGTAGCTCAGTTGGTAGAGCATTGGCCTTCAGGCCTGAAGGTCGTGGGTTCAATTCCCACCTCTACACCTTCTCCGTCGACTCCCACTGATGACTGCCTTGGGCAAGACACTTAACCCCACTTTGCCCAAAGCCCCCACTGAAAGATCAAGGCTATGCTCACACTCAGAGAGCAGCCGTCCTCCTGTGGACTCACCACCTGCAGAAGGTCAGTGAGGGGCTGGTGCTATGAGACTTGAGACCCCTGACCCAGAAATGGATTAAAGGGTAGAAAATGGATGGATGGATAATCTATAGCCCGAGATGTTGCTGAATTCCATTAAAACTTGATGCAGTTCAGGAAGAGATTTGGTGGGTTTATCCAAGTAAACTAGGACATCATCAGCAAACAGGGCACTCTTCTGTTCCTTCTCATTTACTTTAATGCCTTTTATCTTTCTATTTTGTCTGATATATTGTGCCAGGGGCTCAAAAAAAATGGCAAATTACAGCCCTGTCTACAACCTTGTTCAATATTTAGAGGATTTGATAGACCTCCATTTATTCTAATTTTCCCTATAGGTTTGTTATATAATCTTTGTATTATTTTTATAAACTTTTCGGTAAAGTTAAATTTGGAAAGTACTTTATGAAGAAAAGCCCAATCTACAGCGTCAAATGCTTTTTGTGCGTCCAGACCCAAAACAACAGCTGGTTTTTTATCTTTCTGTATTTGATGAATCACATGTAGCGTCTTATATTATCTCTTTTCCTCTCCTTGATAAAGCCTGTCTGGTCCAAATTTATTATGTCCGGGAGAATATTTTCCAGTCTTTTGGCCAAGATGGAGGTGAAGATCTTATAATCCTGATTCAGTAAACTAATGGGTCTGAAATTTGAGCAATCTAATTTGTCCTTACCATCCTTAGGGATAACTGTGATAATGGTCTCTTTCCAAGTGAGTGGGATTCGACCCCCGTTCAAAACCCAGTTAAATGTCTTAAGGAGTAGAGGTGAGAGTTCTTCCAGGTATATCTTGTACCAGTCAGCATTGTAGCTGTCGGAACCTGGAGATTTATTCAATTTGAGCCTTTTAACTGCTTTTGCCAGTTCCTGAGCAGTTATACTCCTTGTCAAAGTTGTATTTTGTTCACTAGAGAGCAAAGGCAATTCACATTGGTTTAACATTGGTTTAACATTGGTTTAACATTGGTTTAGCATTGGTTTAGCATTGTTTTAACATTGGTTTAACATTGGTTTAACATTAGTTTAACATTGGTTTAGCATTGGTTTAGCATTGGTTTAACATTGGTTTAATATTGTTTTAACATTGTTTTAGCATTGTTTTAACATTGGTTTAACATTGGTTTAACATTGGTTTAACATTAGTTTAACATTGGTTTAGCATTGGTTTAGCATTGGTTTAACATTGGTTTAACATTGTTTTAACATTGTTTTAACATTGGTTTAACATTGGTTTAACATTGGTGAGGTCATATCTTCCGTATCTGGCTCCTTTAAACTATAAAGTTTCTGATAATATTCAGCAGAAATGTCTCTAACTTCTAACTCTTTGTGACTTCATTAGTAGAGGGATCTTTTATTTTGTAACAGATCTTTCTGCTTGTTGTTTTTGAAGTCTGTAGGCCAGGACCTTTGTAGATTTACTTCCTGCTTCATAATAGCTCTGTTTTAGATAAAGCAGTTGAGTCTTTATTTTATTCTGTAATTCTTGATTGATTTCGCGTTTAATTTCTTTTATTTTTTGCAGGGTATCATTGTCGCCACTATTTTTGTGTTTTTCTTCCAAGTTGATAAGTTTTTGCTCCAAGGTCTTGATTCTCTGTTCTCGTCTTTTTTTAAGAAGAGTGCTCTTTTCAATCAATTTACCCCTCAGGACCGCTTTACAGGCATCCCATAATATTTCGGGAGAAACTTCATCATTATCATTGTCTTGAATATACAATTTTTAATTTCTTCTCCGATTTCTCCTTTAAGTATGCTCGAGTTAAGTCTCCATAAAAAAGGTGTTTTAATCTTGTCTATGTCTAGCTTCATGTGCACAGGACAGTGATCAGAGAGGTCCACTGATCAGAGAGGTCCACTGATCAGAGAGGTCCACTGATCAGAGAGGTCCACTGATCCAGAGAGGTCCACTGATCAGAGAGGTCCACTGATCAGAGAGGTCCAGTGATCAGAGAGGTCCAGTGATCAGAGAGGTCCAGTGATCAGAGAGGTCCACTGATCAGAGAGGTCCACTGATCAGAGAGGTCCACTGATCAGAGAGGTCCACTGATCAGAGAGGTCCAGTGATCAGAGAGGTCCACTGATCAGAGAGGTCCACTGATCAGAGAGGTCCACTGATCAGAGAGGTCCACTGATCAGAGAGGTCCAGTGATCAGAGAGGTCCAGTGATCAGAGAGGTCCAGTGATCAGAGAGGTCCACTGATCAGAGAGGTCCACTGATCAGAGAGGTCCACTGATCAGAGAGGTCCACTGATCAGAGAGGTCCAGTGATCAGAGAGGTCCACTGATCAGAGAGGTCCACTGATCAGAGAGGTCCACTGATCAGAGAGGTCCACTGATCAGAGAGGTCCAGTGATCAGAGAGGTCCACTGATCAGAGAGGTCCACTGATCAGAGAGGTCCACTGATCAGAGAGGTCCACTGATCCAGAGCTGCACTCACTCACCCGACCTAGGTCTTTATTATACATGAAAAAATAGTCCAGTCTTGAATAGGAACGATGTGTTGCAGAGTAAAATGTATAATCCTCTGGTGGGGGTGTGACCCTGTGGTGGGGGTGTGACCCTCTGGTGGGGGTGTGACCCTGTGGTGGGGGTGTGACCCTCTGGTGGGGGTGTAATTCATGCCACACATCTCCAATTCCTAATTCCTTCATTAACTTCTTCAATTTTTTCCCAGTATTATTGTGTGAGGTCTGTGCAGAAGAGTCCTCTAAAGGGTTCAGTCTTACATTAAAATCCCCACCACAAATAAAACTACCTTGTGCCTTTGTGGCCATCATATCAATTACACATTTGTAAAAAGACCATGATGACCCAGGGGGGGGGCGTAAACATTAATAAAGGTAACCTCTAAACCATGATGACCCGGGGGGGGGGGGGGGGGGGGACATTAATAAAGGTAATCTCTAAACCTTCAAGTCGACCTATGACCATATTATTGACCCTCCTTGTCTTTATGTTCGGCTATTTTTTCAAACGAAACTTTGTTAGAAATTAGTGTGGCCACTCCCCTCTTCCGACCCGAAACATGGGATGCAGAAAACACGTGACCAAATCCTTGTCTTTTTAACTTCTGATGTTCCGTTTCAGATAAGTGAGTTTCCTGTAAGAAAACCATTTCCCCAAAATCTTGGCTCTTTTTAATCGGCCCTAAAACTCCTTTAACATTATATGTACTGAAGCGAATTAAAGATGGAGAAGCCATTGCTGGTTTAATTATTGTATATAAGCAGGTGGTTCCCTACGCTACTCAAACAAAACAAAACAATGAACAATTTTAACAAACATCTGTACTGTACACCCGTGTGTCTCCTTCGTAGAACACCCTCAGCCTCGCCGGGAATGGGGTTTGAAATCTTATATTATTTTCTCTCAAGACCCGTTTAGCTTTGTTGTATTCACGTCGTTTTTTCAACACATCAGGGGCATAGTCGTGATCGATTATCACCTTTTTCTCGTTCAGCGTAAAACTTGATTACCACTGATCGTGGTGGGGCCTCAGGTGGCGGCTTTGATCCCAGGGAGCGGTGCGCTCTGTCTATGGTCAAGTCCAGAGACTGGGGCAAATCCAGATTTTCCCTGAGCAGATTCTTAATGAAGTCAGGAACAGATGGAGATCCGTCTTCTGCGCCCTCTGCGATACCGTGAATTCAAATATTATCTCTTCGCGATCTCCTTCTAACTCTGAGATTTTTGCATTGAGTACCTCTTGTATTTTTATGAGTTCAAGCGTAGTTTCCTCAAGCCGCTGGGTCCTATTCTCCACTTCGTCAATGCGATCTTCAGCGTCGTCAAGTCTCATATTAACTTTTTTAATTTCTTCTTTGAGCAAGCAGAAGTTTTCTCCACTTTCACGTCGTAAACTCCTTAGCTCACGAAGTATAGTTTGTAAATTAGCCGAGTCATTAAATCCTCCGTAGTCCCCTCCGTGTCTGAAGTGCTAGCAGCTTGGCTGGTTGGACTAGCCGCTGCTTCTTCTCCCGCAGTATCATCATCCACCAGTGGTTGGAGTCTCGCATACTTACTTTGTTTGCCTCGGGTCATTTCTTCTCAGTTGTTCCTACTCGTTTATCAATTTGGCACTCTCAAATACAAGGGAAAAGGGGGAAATCTATACTTTGTTCGGGAAGGCACGAGGTTAGGCTGTCGCCATTTCGGTTGCTCACCGGAAGTCCCTAGTGACAGAATTTTTAATACTCTGTTCTGGTGGTCTGAAAATTACAGACCTCAGCTTTAAAGTCACGTACCCCAGCTTTATCATTCAAACCCTGTGTCTCAGATCCACTCGTGGCAGCAGGAGCACCAGGAGATGATCTTGAGTTCACAGAGTTGGATCAACGAGGCCAAAACATGGCTCGCAGCTCCAGCAACTTACACCAGCGCCAAGTGTCTGACCAGCCACGTGCACGCCCTTCAGGTGAGTGTGTGTGCACGTGCACGCCCCCACAAGTTTCCATCCCCCAGTCCTCATAAGTCTCCATCCCCCAGTCCTCATAAGTCTCCATCCCTCGGTGCTCATAAGTCCCCATCCCCCAGTCCTCATAAGTCTCCATCCCCCGGTCCTCATAAGTCTCCATCCCCCAGTCCTCATAAGTCTCCATCCCTCGGTGCTCATAAGTCCCCATCCCCCAGTCCTCATAAGTCTCCATCCCCCGGTCCTCATAAGTCTCCATCCCCCAGTCCTCATAAGTCTCCATCCCCCGGTCCTCATAAGTCTCCATCCCCGGTCCTCATAAGTCTCCATCCCTCGGTCCTCATAAGTCCCCATCCCCCAGTCCTCATAAGTCTCCATCCCCCGGTCCTCATAAGTCTCCATCCCCCAGTCCTCATAAGTCTCAATCCCCCGGTCCTCATAAGTCTCCATCCCCCGGTCCTCATAAGTCTCCATCCCCCAGTCCTCATAAGTCTCCATCCCCCGGTCCTCATAAGTCTCCATCCCCCAGTCCTCATAAGTCTCCATCCCTCGGTGCTCATAAGTCCCCATCCCCCAGTCCTCATAAGTCTCCATCCCCCGGTCCTCATAAGTCTCCATCCCCCAGTCCTCATAAGTCTCAATCTCCCGGTCCTCATAAGTCTCCATCCCCCGGTCCTCATAAGTCTCCATCCCCGGTCCTCATAAGTCTCCATCCCCCGGTCCTCATAAGTCTCCATCCCCGGTCCTCATAAGTCTCCATCCCCCGGTCCTCATAAGTCTCCAAATTCAATCCTGTATAGCCCTAGTCCCAACATCATCTCAGAGACTTAAAGCTCACCAACACAGATCAGAGAATCAACAGTTAAAACACATGAAGATATAAAGCTCACACAGAAGAAAATGTTTAGCCTTCCCTGAGTCTTACCTTCCTAGCCCTATGCTAAACTAAAGAGGACTGTTTTAAACCTAGCCTTGAATAAAGAGAGCAGGTGTGCAAACCGATCCAGGCAAACCTAATTATATATTATATATCATATATATCACATGTACCATACATACTAGAGGTGCAACGGTTCATCACTGATCCGTGATCCGTTCGGTTCAACGTCTTCGGTTCGGTACAGACGTGATCCGCGGTTTGATTTATGAATAAAAAGTTGTGCGCACATTGTTCAGTCCACACACAGCGCGGTCATTGCAAGCGGAGGAACGGAGATGCTTGTAAGCCCTGCGTCATTTAAATCCCCAGTATGAGAGCATTTTGGCTTCACTGTAACTACACTGATAATTAATATTCGACAAAACTGTCACGATGTGTAAGCACTGTGGCACAAGAAAGACATGAGTGAAAAAAGCGTCTCAACGACCGCTTATTGTCGCGGCATTTAAGCAGCTCCTTTACGCACAGTCAGACCGGGCTAAAGTCAACTCTCCCGCGCATCCTCAGCTGCGCTCACGACTGACGCTTGGACGTCCCGCGGAACCTATAATAGATCCATGAGCGGAACCGCTCACTTCATCACCGCAGACTGGGAGATGAAAAGTCTGGCGCTGCAGACACGCCCCCTCTACGACAGTCACAAAGTCACACAGCGCAGGTACTGTCACAAGCAGCGGAGGAATGGAAGACAAAGGCCCAGTACTAATATCCCAGTCACAACTGATAATGCCAAAAATTAAATAAATGCAGTGAATGAGGCTGGGCCCAGAATGGAGCGCCTCCTCGGGAGAATCAGGAAGGTGGTTTAATATATGAGGGTAAATATCCTCATAAAGTGCCTTCTTATGTTGCACTTTGTGTTGTTTTTCATTAATTATGTTAAATAGACATAATTGGATGGATGGAATATGCCATCCATCCATCCATTTCCTTCGCCTTAATTCATTTCTAGGTCAGGGGGGGCAGTCAGAGCAGGTGCCGAGTCCACATGAGCTGTGTTTATTAAAAAGACAAAACTTTTTTTTTGAAAAATGAACCGAACCGTGGCCTCTGAACCGAGGTACGAACCGAACCGTGATTTTTTCAAACCGTTGCACCCCTAATACATACCATATATATCATATATAATACACAACATAACATACAGCATAATATATAACATAATATACAACATAACACAATACACAACATAATACATATATTGTATAATATATAACATAATACAGAATATATATATATATAATATATACACCATATATTATATATTACCTAATTATATGCTAAATTAAAGTAGAGTGCTGCTTCCTTAACATAAATGAAGCTGATTCCACAGTAAAGGAGCTTGGAGCTAAAGAGCTATCCCTGTGTATAGGTGGTGCTAATGCTAAAGCTAACCCTGTGTACAGGCGAGGCTAATGCTAAAGCTAACCCTGTGTACAGGTGATGCTAATGCTAAAGCTAACATTTGTTGTAAATGTCTCCATTGAGAGATCAATAAAGTTTTCTTTGATGCTAATGTTAATGCTAGCCCTGGTCTTCAGGTGGTGCTGGGAGACTCAGAGCAGATCCGGTCCACGCTCCGGTCCTTCTCTCTGATTCTGGACGACATGTCTGAAGTGTGTGACATCACAGCTCTGCAGAACCAGCTCCAGGACCAGGACCGAGACGTGGCCCGAGTCCAGGACAGCTTCACAGAACCACTGTCCAGGCTCCGACAGGCCGCTGCTGTAAGAGAACCAGGACTGGGACCGGGACCAGGACCAGGGTGTTCTCTCTCTCTCTCCCAGTGTGCTCTCTCTCTCTCTCTCTCCCTCTGACCGGGGTCTCTCTCTCTCTCTCTCTCTCTCTCTCCCTCTCTCTCTCTCTCTCTCTCTCTCTCCCACCCAGTGTGCTCTCTCTCTCTCTCCCTCTCTCTCTCTCTCTCTCTCTCCTCTCTCTCCCTCTGACCGGGGTCTCTTTCTCTTCTCTCTCCCAGTGTGCTCTCTTTCTCTCTCTCTCTCTCCTCTGACGGCTCTCTCTCTCCCGTCTCCCTCTGACCGGGCTCTCTCTTGACGGGTCTCTCTCTCCCAGTGTGCTTTCTCTCTCTCTCTCTCTCTCTCCCAGTGTGCTCTCTCTCTGACCGGAGTCCCTCTCTCTCTCCCAGTGTGCTCTCTCTCTTACCGGGGTCTCTCTTTCTCTGTCTCCCTCTCTTTCCCAGTGTGCTCTCGCTCTCTGACCGGGGTCTCTCTCTCCCAGTGTGCTCTCTCTCTCTCTCTCTCCCTCTGACCGGGGTCTCTTTCTCTCTCTCTCTCCCAGTGCTCTCTCTCCCTCTCTCTGTCTCTCTCTCTCTCTCTTTCTCTCTCTCTCCCAGTGTGCTCTCTCTCTGACCGGGGTCTCTCTCTCCACAGGAGGCAGAGTCCATAGAAGCTGAAGTGAGGCAGATGGAGAAAGACGTGTCTGAGATCAAAGAGCTGTTGGTTTCTCCAGAAAACACCCCAGGATCCAGGCTCCAGAGACTGAAGGTTTGTCCTGATCCAGAGACTGAAGGTTTGTCCTCATCCAGAGACTGAAGGTTTGTCCTGATCCAGAGACTGAAGGTTTGTCCTGATCCAGAGACTGAAGGTTTGTCCTGATCCAGAGACTGAAGGTTTGTCCTGATCCTGTGCGACATTCACACCGAGCTGACTAGACATCGTTTCTCTCCTCTCTTTCCTCTCCCTCCCCCTCTCTCTCTCCTCTCTCCTCTCTCTCCTCTCTCTCCTCTCTCCCCTCTCTCCTCTCTCTCCCCTTCCTCTCTCTCACCTGTCTCTGTGTACTCTCTCGTCCTCAGTTGGTGGAGGAGAAGATCTCTCAGATGCAGAGAACCATCTCTGAGGTCCAGAGCCGGAGACTGGTCCAGGATCTGCCTCAGACTCTGTGTGTGTTCACCGTGATAGACCATCTACACACACTGATCCAGGAGCTGCACAAGGTACACACACACACACACACACACACACTGATCCAGGAGCTGCACAAGGTACACACACACACACACACACGCGCACACACAGACACACACACACACTGATACAGGAGCTGCACAAGGTACAAACACACACGCACACACAGATCCAGGAGCTGCACAAGGTACACACACACACACACACACAAACACTGATCCAGGAGCTGCACAAGGTACACACACACACACACGCGCACACACAGACACACACACACACTGATACAGGAGCTGCACAAGGTACACACACACACACACACACGCACACACAGATCCAGGAGCTGCACAAGGTACACACACACACACACACACACACACACACTGATCCAGGAGCTGCACAAGGTACACACACACACACACACTGATCCAGGAGCTGCACAAGGTACACACACACACACAGACACATACACAGACACACACAGACACACACACACAGACACACACACAAACACACAGACACACACACAGACACGCACACACACAGACACACACACACACACTGATACAGGAGCTGCACAAGGTACACACACACACACACACACACTGATCCAGGAGCTGCACAAGGTACACACACACACACACACACACACTGATCCAGGAGCTGCACAAGGTACACACACACACACACACACACACACACACACAGACACACACACAAACACACACACACACACAGACACACACACAAACACACACACACACACACACAGACACACACAGACACAGACACACACACTCACACACACACACACACACAGACACACACACTCACACACACACTCTCATCATGTGTCTCTTACAGAATGTTCCGGTTCTCTTCGTTCCGCAGCAGAACTCTCCGAGACAGTCTCCGTTTCTGCCACGACAGACCGCAGAGGTCAGAGGTCACACTCTCTGTCCTGATTGGCTGTGGGCTCTGTCCTGATTGGCTGTGGTGTTCCTTGCTTCTGATTGGCTGTGTTGTCTGTTTCATTTCCAGGCTCCGCCCCCAGCCTCCTCCTCGCCCTATCACACGCCACGACAATCACCATTTATGCCACAATTCAAGAATGCTGAAGAGGTTAGCTCTAATGTCAGCTCTAAGGTCAGCTCCAATGTCAGCTCTAATGTAGCTATAATGTCAGCCCTAATGTCAGCTCTAATGTCAGCTCTAATATCAGCTCTAATGTCAGCTCTAAGGTCAGCTCTAAGGTCAGCACTAAGGTCAGCTCTAATGTCAGCTCTAATTTCATCTCTAAGGTCAGCTCTAAGGTCAGCACCAAGGTCAGCTCTAATGTCAGCTCTAAGGTCAGCTCTAAGGTCAGCTCTAAGGTCAGCACTAAGGTCAGCTCTAATGTCAGCTCTAATTTCATCTCTAAGGTCAGCTCTAAGATCAACTCTAAGGTCAGCACCAAGGTCAGCTCTAATATAGCTCTTAGGTCAGCTTTAATGTCAGCTCTAATAGCTCTAAGGTCAGCTCTAATGTCAGCTCTAATATAGCTCTAAGGTCACCTCTAATGTCAGCTCTAATATAGCTCTAAGGTCAGCTCAAATGTCAGCTCTAATATAACTCTAAGGTCAGCTCTAATGTCAGCTCTAATGTAATCTCTAATATAGCTCTAAGGTCAGCTCTAAGGTCAGCTCTAATGTCATCTCTAATGTCAGCTCTAATATAGCTCTAATGTAGCTCTAAGGTCAGCTCTATTGTCAGCTCTAATGTCAGCTCTAATGTAGCTCTAATGTCAGCTCTAAAGTCAGCTCTAAGGTCAGCTCTAAGGTCAGCTCTAAGTCAGCTCTAAAGTCAGCTCTAATGTCAGCTCTAATGTCAGCTCTAAGGTGAGCTCTAATGTCAATTATAATGTCAGCTCTAATGTCAGCTCTAAAGTCAGCTCTAATGTCAGTTATAATGTCAGCTCTAATGTCGTATTTCTCCGCAGGGGGAGGGGCAGGTTTCTCGTCTGAAAGAGGACGTCCTGAAGAGTCCTGGGGCTGAACTGCAGACAGTGAAAACATGTGACATCACTCAGGTACATGAAATACTTCTACTGCTACTGCTACTACTACTACTACTGCTAATAATCTAATCTTATCTTATCTATTTATTTATATACCGCCTTTTCACTGCAGATCTGAGTCTCAAAGCGGTTTACAATTGTTAATTTTGGGCATTTGTCTCTCACTCCACACAGAGATGGGAGCGGGGCCAGTACAGGAGGCGCATGCCAGACATGCCTATTGGACATATTTTTAGTGGTAGGGGAAACCGGAGTACCCGGAGGAAACCTACGCAGACACGGGGAGAACATGCAAACTCCACTCAGAAAGGCCCTGGTCCGACCGGGATTCGAACCCAGGACCTTCTTGCTGAGAGGCGAGAGTGCTATACAACTCAGCCACCGTGCCGCCCTACTGCTACTGCCCTACTGTGCTGCTACTACTACTACTGCTACTTCTACTACTACTACTGCTACTACTACTACTACTGCTGCTCCTACTGCTGCTACAACTACTACTGTTACTACTACTACTACTGCTTCTACTGCTACTGCTACGTACTTCTGCTATTGCTCTTATTTTGATGTTTCAGACCCCAACTTGAAAGTCTGTTTTAGTTGCTCTCTTTGGTCCAGCACAGTGTGGCATGGTGGCAGAGTGGTTAGCATGTCCTGGGTTCACTTCCACAGACAGAGCCTCTTTCTGAGTGGAGTTTGCTTGTGCCGGTTTCCTCCGGGTGCTCCGGTTTCTCCTACCACTAAAAACATAGTGCAATAGCCTTTGAGTGTTTTTGATGAAATACAACTGAGGCCCAAAGCCGAGTCCTTGTGGATGTGTCACTTATAATGAGAGGCCTAAAATACAGAGGGGGAGGGTGTGTGTGAGTGTAGTTCCCTGCTCGACCTGAGTGTGGCGCTCACTGCTGTTGCTGTTGCAGTCTACTGGAGCCTCGCCCTCAGACGGGGCATCAGGGGTAATGTGGTGGCTGTGGGACCGCTTCGTGGCCGACACGGCTCAGGTAAAGGGACCCTGGTGATACAGACAGTACACGGGTGGACATGCTAACATGCTTGCTCAGTGCTAACACGCTAGCTCAGTGCTACCCCGCTAGCTCAGTGCTACCATGCTAGCTCAGTGCTAACCTGCTAGCTCAGTGCTAACACGCTTGCTCAGTGCTAACACGCTAGCTCAGTGCTACCCCGCTAGCTCAGTGCTACCATGCTAGCTCAGTGCTAACCTGCTAGCTCAGTGCTAACACGCAAGCTCAGTGCCCATGGTGAAGTTTTGTTCCTCTGCCTCCTTGAGACTTCCTCTCTATGATCCAGGTGTTTATACTGTGTCTTTGTTAATCCTGATATGACCTTGTAAGGACTGACCAATCAGCCCCGGAACTCGGCTTTAGCAGCCAATAGCGTGAGAGAAGCCTCCTGATTGGCTCTTGGTTGTAGCTACTCACAAAACAGGGGCGATTTTAGACTTTCAGCTTCAGGGGTGCTTAGCACCTTGGGGTGGGAGGGGCATAGGTAGATGGAATTTCAATATGAGGGAAATGTATTGTAATAATAGTACAATAATACATAATTAGAACAGACTCATGAGTACAACGAACTGCAAAATTAGTTACAAAAATGGCACGCGCACAACGTATCTTACAATAAATTCTGAAAAGCAGCATACTGCAAATAACACGGCCTGATTCTTAAAGAGTTCATCTGTGGTGCCTCACTCTCAGTCGTGCATCTGTCCATTTTGTCAAGAACTTCCTTTTCAACTGACATACAGCAACTGACATGTTGTGAATCCTTCTTTGACCAGAGGTCATTGTCAACTAAGAGCTACAGCTGCTGACAGGAATGCAACCTGTAAAACTGTTTTTAGGGATGGAAACACCTCATTTTCCAAGAGGTTGTACACTGAGAGCATGTCATGCATTGGCATTGCCTCACTCTTCTGTCCTCAGATCAATGTGATAATGTTGGGCCAGTGTTGACAAATCATGCTCAGACAAAAAACTGCATCCTTGAACACCTTGAAGCAACATCTGACTAACACCAGAAAACCTCTTCTCAAGTTCAGCCAGCATCCAATCCAAACAAGGAAACAAAAGTTTCCTTTGATAATCCACAGACTCTGAGGAGACATCAGCTTCCCTCCTTGTCCTTCATGAGGATTCCACAACATCTAATTTTCTTGCCTTAGCTCGTTTACCTGAAGAAGGTTCTGGAATCTCATTTGCCTCACACAGAATCTTGTATAAATGTCTGCAGCCGTGACATCACTTGGTTTCTTTTTAAGGGAATCAATAATGGCATCTTTGTGAACTAAGGCCTGTGCTAACAACAACAACAACAGCAAATTATTCTTGTATCACAACAGAAATCATCTGAGGACTTCTCAAAACCATTGAAATCACCAACACAGATCAGAGAAGCAACAGTTAAAACACAAAAAATACAAATATGAGTTTGTCCATAGGGAGAGACCAATGTCCATGAATGTTGAATAATGTCCATACATGGTGTAGAATGTGAAAGTGTCCTGGATCATCACAGTCCTTCTAGTTGGACACTAACTGTCCAACAGACTCCTGCATCAGAGGAAAAACTCAATACAAAAAACCCAGTGGGAAAAAAGTGAGAAACCTCCGGGAGACCCACTCTGAGAGGATCCGCTTCACACGGTGCTCAGTCAACATTCTCTTTTTGCAGATACCTGTGCAATCCTGAAGTGGTGGAAAGTAGAGCCTCAAAAACTAGTCACATCTTAAGATCAGCTTGTTCTATTGTGCTCTTAATTATGAAGAAAATGATTACAAGCCCCAACTTCAAACATGGCCCTCAAAGCAAATATAAGATATAATAAATTCCATCGCTCACACAACTCATGCTTGGACCAACCTGTGTGTTGTTAGTGTCTTACCTGCTGTTCTCACTCTGCCCCTGATCAATATTCTCCTTCCCTTTAACTGCTGTCAACCAAAAGACACATTTAATATGCATGAAGTACACTATAAAATAAATATAGCACCTATTAACTTAAAACTTAAGGTCAGATCACAAACAAATGTATTCTGATTCAGCATTACTGGGATCAAACAAAAGGCTCTGATCCTCTGATGACATCACAGCCGTATCTTTTTACCTGATCACAGACCAACACTGTGTGTTATTTTAGGACACAGACTAATGCAGGTCAGTTACTGTCCTTTATACTATTTAATTAATATTTCCCTGAAAATTACACAAACCTCACCTGAAGCTTTCCCTTTGAAAAACGCTCTAATATCCATCATTGCAGCTAAGTCCACTCTTGCTAACACATTTCCAGTGTAAATGTTTTTTTGCTTTCAGTATGGAGTTATGTTCAATATTGTATATATTGATATTTATTTGTAATATAACAAAGCTATCACAACACAGACTGACTGTGCTACTTCATCAAGTGACAGTGATGAAGATATCATTACAGAGCAAGCTTTGTTTTATTTGTTAGTAAAAAGCTAAGGGCTTTAGGGCTTCATAATCTATACCATATAAAACATGAACTGTGTGTGAAAACCAGGAGATAAGTAAATGTGACGCCAAATGACTCAATTCAAGAGAACTTTGTGGCAGATCTAACATGGCCGTAGACACTCGCGGAGCCGCGCACGGAGCACAGGTGTTTAATACAGCGTTAGCAGCAGAACTGTTCTCATAAAGTTTATGGGAAAAGATGAGATAGAAAATGAATTACCAACCAAGTAAATGTGAAAGCCACTGGCAAACAAGGCTGTAGCTCAGTCTCAGCGCACAGACAGACACAGACAGACACAGACAGACACAGACACAGACAGACACAGACAGACACAGACACAGACAGACACAGACAAACACAGACACAGACAGACACAGACAGACACAGACACAGACAGACAGACACAGACAGACACAGACACAGACAGACACAGACAAACACAGACACAGACACAGACAGACACAGACAGACACAGACAGACACAGACACAGACAGACACAGACAGACACAGACACAGACAGACACAGACAGACACAGACACAGACAGACACAGACACAGACAGACACAGACACAGACAGACACAGACACAGACACAGACAGACACAGACACAGACAGACACAGACAGACACAGACAGACACAGACAGACACAGACACAGACACAGACAGACACAGACACAGACAGACACAGAGAACAGGCCAGAGAGGCAAACGCAGCGGGACCTTGCGGTGCGTTCTCTGCATGAAATGGAATGACTCCAGACATTTTTAAATAGATGGTAACAACGAATTTTACTAACAATAACAGTACTTATAAATAACCTGGATGCGTTTTAAAAATCCGTTAATTATTTTTATTTTTTTCATTTTTATGTATTTTTGTTTTATAATTTTAGGGGTGCTTGACAAAAAGGGGCTAGCTACGCCCCTGTCACAAAATATATACATTTGTAGCCACATACCATAGAGTCAGCTCTAATCCTGATGTAGTCCTGGGTTCGAATCCCGGCCGGACCAGGGCCTTTCTTAGTGGAGTTTGCATGTTCTCCCCGTGTCTGCGTAGGTTTCCTCCGGGTACTCCGGTTTCCCCTGCCACTAAAAATATGTACAATAGTTCTGGCATGCGCCTCCTGTTCGGCGACCCTGCTCCCATCTCTGTGTGGAGTGAGAGGACAAGTGCCCAAAAAAATTACAATTGTAAACCGCTTTGTGACTCTGGTCTGTGAAAGGCGGTATATAAATAAAGCGTAAAGCGTATTAGAGTCAGCTCTAATCCTGATGTGATCTCTCTGTGGTCTCTCCGTGGTCTCTCCGTGGTCTCTCTGTGGTCTCTCTGTGGTCTCTCCGTGGTCTCTCCGTGGTCTCTCCGTGGTCTCTCCGTGGTCTCTCTGTGGTCTCTCTGTGGTCTCTCCGTGGTCTCTCCGTGGTCTCTCCGTGGTCTCTCTGTGGTCTCTCTGTGGTCTCTCCGTGGTCTCTCCGTGGTCTCTCCGTGGTCTCTCTGTGGTCTCTCCGTGGTCACTCTCTGTGATCTCTGTGTATTTAAAGCTGGCACAGAATAGGATGGGGCCCAGGGTAGAACCTTGTGGTACCTCGTTTTAGACCCAGTGCATATTGTGTCTGTGTTTGATCCACAAAGTAAAAGCTGTTTCTCTTTAGTCCTTCAAACTGCTTTGGTGGTGATGATGAGGATGATGATGATGATGATGGTGATGATGATGGTGATGATGATGATGATGGTGATGATGATGATGATGATGATGATGATGATGATGATGGTGATGATGGTGGTGATGATGATGGTGATGGTGATGGTGATGGTGATGGTGGCGATGATGGTGATGATAATGATGATGACGATGATGGTGATGATGATGATGACGATGATGATGGTGATGATGGTGATGATGGTGATGATAATGATGGTGATGATGATGATGATGATGATGGTGATGATGGGGATGATGATGATGATGATGATGATGGTGATGATGATGATGATGGTGATGATGGTGATGGGGATGATGATGATGATGGGGATGATGATGATGATGGGGATGATGATGATGATGATGATGATGGTGATGGTGGTGATGACGATGATGGTGACAACGATAACATGCTAGAATACTAACTTTCTGTTTCTGTGTCTGTAGGAGGCTGGGGCCCAGATTGAGGCCCGGACTGAGGCTGAGACTGAGGTCCAGACTGAGGCCCATTCTGAAGCCCAGACTGAGGCCCAGACTGAGGTTGCTGGTTCCATTCCCGAAAGCACCACAGATAATGAGAATCCTCCTCCAGATCCCAGCGAGTCTCCCGGCAAATCCAGCCGCTGCGTCGTCTCTTAAAACCACTCTTAAGACCTCCTCCTTTGATAAACATCATGTGTGATGTCACCTGTGTGATGTCACAGGTGTAATGTCACATGTGTGATGACACATGTGTGATGTCACCTGTGTGATGTCACATGTGTGATGTCACCTGTGTGATGTCACCTGTGTGATGTCACCTGTGTGATGTCACAGGTGTAATGTCACATGTGTGATGACACATGTGTGATGTCACCTGTGTGATGTCACATGTGTGATGACACATGTGTGATGTCACCTGTGTGATGTCACACGTGTGATGTCACCTGTGTGAAGTCACACGTGTGATGTCACCTGTGTGATGTCACATGTGTGATGTCACATGCAGGAGTTGCAGCTGTGTAGATCTAACAACAGTTTACAAAGTGAATGTTTGTGTTATCAGGGAGAGAAGAGACTGACACTAAAATACAGAGACTTATTTATAATATATGTATATACATACTTACATACAGTAGAGTAGGGTAGGGTAGAGTACAGTAGGGTAGAGTAGGGTAGGGTAGGGTAGGGTAGAGTACAGTAGTGTAGGGTAGGGTAGAGTACAGTAGGGTAGGGTAGGGTAGAGTACAGTAGAGTAGGGTAGGGTAGGGTAGAGTACAGTAGAGTAGTGAAGGGTAGGGTAGAGTACAGTAGAGTAGGGTAGGGTAGAGTACAGTAGAGTAGGGTAGGGTAGGGTAGAGTACAGTAGAGTAGGGTAGGGTAGGGTAGAGTACAGTAGGGTAGGGTAGGGTAGAGTACAGTAGAGTAGGGTAGGGTAGGGTAGAGTACAGTAGGGTAGGGTAGGGTAGGGTAGAGTAGAGTAGAGTATTAATACTGGTGTTCCTTTGATCAGTGGAGAGTCTTCTTGTACGTTTCCTGTGATGTTTTTCTTGTGATTGCTTCAAAATCAATGAATTCTGTTTGTTGTTTTTCTTCTGTTTAAATAAACTGTGTGAGTCTGCGGGAGTAAACCTACCATAATATTACTAATAATAACTATAATAATACTATTATTATTGTCAATAACATCATAATAATGAAAATAATAAAGTGTGTGCTGCTTCTCTTTTGTATTTCCAATAAACTGTTCTTTCACTGAGTTTCCGTTTCAAAACCTATATATATATATATAATTTTTATTGATTTTTATATATATATAATTTTTATTTATTTTTATATATATATATATATATATATATATATATATATATATATATATATATATGTAAGACGGTTGGAGGCTAAGATCAAGGCGGCTCGGAGAGAAGTGAGTCAATTAACAGAGGCCCAGAGAGGTGCAATGAAAAGACCAGTACCCAGAAAGTACAGCCAGATGACCATACCTGAAGCACTCGAAACTGCCAAACAAAGGCTCCAAGCCCTGGCCAGCCGCCTACAGAGGTACACTAAAGAGAATGAAGCCAGAAGGGTGAACAGGCTGTTCGCAACACAACCTGCGAAGGTGTACGCTCAGTGGCAGGGTAACAACAGGGGAGCAGACCCACCGAGGCTGGAAATTGAACAGTTCTGGAAGAACATATGGGAGAAGGATGCAGCACATAACAGAAGTGCACAATGGCTGGTATCCCTGAGAGAGGAGCACAGCCACCTCCCAGAACAGAACTCAGTTACCATCACAGAGGCAGACATCCGAGAAAGAGTCTCAGGTATGAAAAACTGGACAGCACCTGGCCCTGATATGGTCCATGCCTACTGGCTAAGGACACTCACATCACTCCATGAGCGCCTAGCAGCACAAATGAACCAGCTGCTGAGAGATGGGACTCACCCAGAATGGCTAACCGAAGGGCGAACGGTCCTGATCATGAAGGACCCTGTCAAGGGTGCAGTCCCCTCCAACTACCGGCCAATAACCTGTCTCTCCACAACATGGAAGCTCATGTCAGGCATCATTGGGCTAAGATAAGTGGGCATATGGAACAATTCATGAGCACAGCACAGAAGGGCATTGGTAGAGACCCCAGAGGAGCCAAACACCAGCTCCTGGTTGACTGCCGGTCACGACCACTGCATGAAAAGTGTGATTTTCGTCTCTTTTCGGCCCTGTATATACTGTAGTAGTTGAACTTCTGGGATTTGGCTGTTCACTCTAGTTTGTTGTCCCCTCCTCCCTCCTCCACAGGAGGCTTTAACATGTAAATGGAAATGCTGTGAGCTATACAAATGCAAATCAGGGTTGAGGGGGAGCACAACTGGACCATGTTGCACAACTTTCAGTCAGTCTCTCACACACACAGACACACACACACACACAAGGAGAAGACTGATCAGAGATGCAGACAAGAGGCCCATGATCACTCTGGATGAACTGCAGATAACTACAGCTACATTAAAATTGTATATCTTTATGTTTGAAGCCTGAAATGTGGCAAAATGTTGAAAGGTTCAAGGGGGCCGAATACTTTCGCAAGGCACTGTATATATATATATATATATATATATATATATATATATTTTTTTTTTTTTTTTTTTTTTTTTTTTCTTATCTCATCTCAAGGCTTTTTTTCTCAAAGATTTATGTACTGATGAAAACAAGTCAATGGAACTCAAAACATTTTTCTCTTTTATTTGGTATAACTGGTCCACTAACATTTTATTTCTAATTATGTACATGTATATAATGTAGGAATAAGACAATAAGACAAAATGAATATGCATGTGTATATGGTCCGTGTACTTTTGCGTTCAATACATTTTCTATTTTTGAAGGGAAATGGAAAATTGAAAAAAGGCTATTTTTCATTTTCGGGCACACAGCAATATACAAAAATGACCATTTTGGTTTTTTCATTACTTATAAGACATAGATATTATAGTAATCGCATTTGGGAACTAGAAAATGCAATAATTCACCTTTTTTAATATGTATATAATACATTTTCGGCGTCAATCGATTACCCGGAAGTGAAACAAGTTTGTTTACTTCCCTATTCGCTCCTGTATTTGTCCAAACACAGACGTTCTGTGATAATACTAATCCTGTGAGAATCTTCATGTCAGTGCTTATGATTCTGACTGCCGCAACAATAAGCAGAGGAGTCGCATATCGTGGCTGTGAACACCTGCGGAGTCGAGGCTGCTGCTGTCTGAGGTCTATGGAGAAGAGGACAGTGTAATGTGTTCTCTGTGAGGTCTATGGAGAAGAGGACAGTGTAATGTGTTCACTGTGAGGTCTATGGAGAAGAGGACAGTGTAATGTGTTCTCTGTGAGGTCTATGGAGAAGAGGACAGTGTAATGTGTTCACTGTGAGGTCTATGGAGAAGAGGACAGTGTAATGTGTTCACTGTGAGGTCTATGGAGAAGAGGACAGTGTAATGTGTTCTCTGTGAGGTCTATGGAGAAGAGGACAGTGTAATGTGTTCTCTGTGAGGTCTATGGAGAAGAGGACAGTGTAATGTGTTCACTGTGAGGTCTATGGAGAAGAGGACAGTGTAATGTGTTCTCTGTGAGGTCTATGGAGAAGAGGACAGTGTAATGTGTTCTCTGTGAGGTCTATGGAGAAGAGGACAGTGTAATGTGTTCTCTGTGAGGTCTATGGAGAAGAGGACAGTGTAATGTGTTCTCTGTGAGGTCTATGGAGAAGAGGACAGTGTAATGTGTTCTCTGTGAGGTCTATGGAGAAGAGGACAGTGTAATGTGTTCTCTGTGAGGTCTATGGAGAAGAGGACAGTGTAATGTGTTCACTGTGAGGTCTATGGAGAAGAGGACAGTGTAATGTGTTCTCTGTGAGGTCTATGGAGAAGAGGACAGTGTAATGTGTTCTCTGTGAGGTCTATGGAGAAGAGGACAGTGTAATGTGTTCACTGTGAGGTCTATGGAGAAGAGGACAGTGTAATGTGTTCACTGTGAGGTCTATGGAGAAGAGGACAGTGTAATGTGTTCACTGTGAGGTCTATGGAGAAGAGGACAGTAATGTGTTCTCTGTGAGGTCTATGGAGAAGAGGACAGTGTAATGTGTTCTCTGTGAGGTCTATGGAGAAGAGGACAGTAATGTGTTCACTGTGAGGTCTATGGAGAAGAGGACAGTGTAATATGTTCACTGTGAGGTCTATGGAGAAGAGGACAGTAATGTGTTCACTGTGAGGTCTATGGAGAAGAGGACAGTGTAATGTGTTCTCTGTGAGGTCTATGGAGAAGAGGACAGTGTAATGTGTTCACTGTGAGGTCTATGGAGAAGAGGACAGTGTAATGTGTTCACTGTGAGGTCTATGGAGAAGAGGACAGTAATGTGTTCACTGTGAGGTCTATGGAGAAGAGGACAGTAATGTGTTCTCTGTGAGGTCTATGGAGAAGAGGACAGTGTAATGTGTTCTCTGTGAGGTCTATGGAGAAGAGGACAGTAATGTGTTCACTGTGAGGTCTATGGAGAAGAGGACAGTGTAATGTGTTCACTGTGAGGTCTATGGAGAAGAGGACAGTGTAATGTGTTCTGTTATAGAAATATATACCCCATGAAGGAGGAAACTCAAAGGTCCTTTGTCTGATCAAAAGCGTAAGTTTATTGTTAACGCACAGTGCGGAGAGTCAGCATATGCACACAACGGCAGCATGCTCAGCTCTGGGGGCCAGAGCCCCCAGCTTCCTGTATACAAAACACACACCAAAGATAGTCACGCCCACAACGGAGCGGAGGGGGCCACCGGTGAGGAGGCGCACAGGAAGCGCCGGCGCCATCCCCTGTGGTGGCAGTGGCATGGGGTGTGAACAGACAGACAATGGTGGAAGTGCAGGTCATACAGATGCAAGACGGAAAGACACAAGGGTGTGACAGACAGCAGGGACCTTCACAAAGCTCAGCATGGCGTCAGAAGGTTGTCTGCATTGATAAAAGGCCTTTGACGTCCGTGTATTTGCTGCGGCTGGTTTTAATGTAATTACTCCAAAAACTGTCAC